GAATGAAGATATCCCTGAATAATCATTTCCTATAATAACAATGTCATAAACATATACCACAAGAAGAATAATGCCAATTGTTGATTGTTTATAAAAGACTGAGTGATGATACATGCTCTTTTTCAGCCCAAATTGCTGAACTACTTCATTGAATTTGCCAAACCAAGAACGAGTGCTTTGTTTCAAACCATACAAAGATTTCTTCAGGTGACAAACTTACCCATACTCCCCCTGAGCAACAAATCAAGGTGGTTGCTCTATATATAGTTCTTCTTGGAGATCACCATGAAGAAATGCATTCTTGATATCTAGCTGGTGCAACAGCCAATTCTTAGATGCAGCTAAGGAAATAAATAAGTGAACAGAGGTGAGTTTAGCCACCGAAGAAAATGTGTCTGAATAATCCACCCATAAGTATGAGAATATCCTTTAACCACTAGTCGAGCCTTAAGTCCAGCCACAGAGTCATCTGGATTAACTTTGACCGCAAAGACCTATTTGCATCCCACTGCCTTCTTTGATTTTGGTAAATCCACCAAGTTCTAAGTGTGATTTCATCTAGTGCATGTATCTCCTCAAGCATTGCATTATACCATTCAGTGTGACTCAAGGCTTCCTTAACTATCTTAGGAACAACGATAGGGTCAAGAGAAACAATCAAAGATCTAGACATAAATGATAAATGACCATAGGAAACAAAATTAGCAATGGAGTATTTGGATTGCAACTACGTGTACCTTTGTGAATAGAAATGGGGAGATCAAGATCTTATGGAAGATCAGACGAATGAGGATCTAATGACAAAGGGACTGGTGCAGGACATGTATCATTGGCCTCTCGCCTCCTCGAGTAAACTTGTACAACCGGAGGTCTTACTACCGTAGATGGTACAGGAGTTGATGGTACAGTACTCAATTGATCCTCAATAGATGATTTGAGAGATGGAGGGAAAATATTTGATTCTTCTGTGAAAACACGAGTGACCTCATAGACAAACCACTCATCTTCCTTCCCCTGACTTGTAGAAATGGGAGATGCATAAAAGAAAGGTGTAGTCTCTGATAATACCACATCAGTTGATACCAAATATTTGCCAAGTTCAGTAGAATAACATCAATACCCCTTCTGAAGATGAGAATAGCCCAAAAAATGCACTTCAATGCCTTTGGATCCTAGTTAGTGCCAGATGGTCAAACATCTCGAACATAACAAGTGCTTCCAAACATCTTGGGTTCTACTGGAAATAGTGACTTGTTTGGAAACAGAACACTACAAGGCACATTACCATCAAGAACAGTGGATGGCATACGATTAATCAGAAAACAAGCCATAGAGATTACATCTGCCCAAAACTGTTTAGGAACCTTCATTGGGAACAAAAGTGCTCGAGTTGTCTCAAGTAGATGCCTATTCTTCCTCTCATCAACTCCATTTTGGGAGGGTGTATCAACACATGAAGACTAGTGGAGAAAACCGTGCTATCTCATGTATGATTGAAATGATTCTAAGATATATTCGTTAGTATTGTCAGTCCTTAGAATACGTACCGAAGCATTGAATTGTGTTTGACTTCAGCATAAAAGGCAAAAAAGTTAGTAAACACTTTTGAGCATCTCTTCATGAAATAAATCCAAGTCATACTAGAAAAATCATCCACAAAAGTAATAAAATACTTATGCCTAGTTTTGGAAATGACAGGCCATGGTCCCCAAACATCAGAATGAGCCAACTCAAAAGCTGACTAAGCCCGCTTATTAACCCTTGGACTTAATGAGTTACCATGATGTTTTGAAAATCAACATGACTCGCATTCTAATGAAGAAATATTTTGGAATTGTCAACAAAGCTTCTTTAGCAAAGGTAGAGAAGGATGTCCATATCGACAATGTGCTTCAAATAGACACACAACACTAGAGCATGCAACAAACTGAGGCACCCATTCATCCAAAATATAGAGATCGACTTGGTAGAGTGTTCGTTAATGATCTATGGGCAGAAAACTATCAAACCAACACCACCAAACATCTGGCTAGAATTCACAAACCTTTACCGATGAAAAGCCACTCTGATCAGAATGATTTCATTAGACACTTTAGGTTTTTAAACCTATGGACCCAGTATCATCAGGACTTCCTTTAGGTAGTGCAAGACTTGGAATATGAATCTCATTGGTAATTCCATGTGGAGATTACAAAGTGAGTTAAAAGCTCTCAGCAAAAGACTCAGTCAATGGTCTAGAAACACCATTGGAGATATTTATGAACAAGTTAACACTTGGGAAGCTAAGGTGCAACTTCTGGAAGAACTAATCCTGCCAATAATACTAAACAAAGCAAGGAGGAATTGAACAAGGAGTATGCATAGTATGTGAATTGGCTCAATATGTAAGAGGCTCTTCTTAGGCAAAAAGTTAGAATCGATTTGTTTAAAGATGGAGATTGTAATGGAAGGTATTTTCACATTGTTATTAGAGATAGGAGGAAGAAACTTCACATTCACGGGATCAAGAACCACAATGATAGATGGATTCATGGGGAAAACAAAATTGCCAAAGCTGCTATTAGGTGTTATAGGAAACTTTTTAATTTGGAGTAGCCTGCTATGAATAACAACTTCTCCTCGAGTGTATTCCAAGTCTAATTACTAATGATGATAATGAAGCACTTCACAAAAATCCTATGGAGGAAGAAATCAAAGATGCAATATTTAGTATGAGTACTGACAACAATGCAGTGCTGGGTTTTATTTGCCCTTACTTTCTTACCATAAATAGGTTTTTGTTTTAGAAAAAGGTTTAATATTTTTACTAGTCCTTTTCTTGTAGGAAAAGGTTTGGGACTCTATAAAAAGAGACTTGTTCTTTCTAACTTAATCACCATTCACAATATAGTCCTATGAGCTTTGAGAGTTTTGGTTAGGGGGGAAATTTGTGGGACACAAGTGATATGTTATCACTTGTGTGAACCTCCCATGTATTCTGAGTGAATTGGTTGAGGTTATTTCTCTCTATATTTTGTACTCTCATATTTATATAGTAGATTGCTCATCTCCTTTGTAGACGTAGGTCGATTGACCAAACCACGTTAAATTTTTGTGTCTTTTGGTGTATTTCTCGTTTGTCTTCTTACTCATGGTCTTTCTAGGTTTGCTTTGCTAGCTTCCATATGACACCTGATTAATTTTTGGTCCTAACATGCACGACCAAATGGCTTCAATGTAAAGTTTTTTCATACTTGTTGGGATATTATTAAATATGACATCTGTGAATTTATTGTTGAATTTTTCTCTCGTAAAAAAGCTTACAAAATATTTCACTCACCCTTGTCTGGCCTTGATTACTAAGGTTGATTTCCCTTCAAATTTCTCTCATCTGAGACCTATTAGTCTAAGCATTTTTTCGAACAAAATTGTTTCCAAAATTTTAGCTAGAAGACTTAATCCTATCCTGTATAGACTCATTTATGTTAATCAAAGTGGCTTTATTACTGGTAGGTTGATCACTGGAAATGTTACGCTTGCTCAAGAAATTGTTCATGGAATGTATAAACCTAATGTTGGTGGTAATATTATTATCAAATTAGACATGGCTAAAGCCTATGATAGAATGAATAGAAATTTTCTTAAAGAAGTCCTTAAAAGATTTGGTTTTTCAGACAAATGGATTGCACTTATATGGAATCTTATTTCTAATGTTTGGTACTCCATTTTGATTAATGGTTTCTTCTTCCCATCTCAGGGTCTCAAATAGGGTCATCCGCTATCTCCCTCACATATAGGAGGTTCATCAATGAAAACTCTAGAGCTGGTATAGGAGGAATCATTGGGGATGCTACTGGTAACCTTATCCTGGCATTCTCAGTCCCTGCTCAAAGCAAGACCAACAATCAAGCTGAAGCTATGGCAACATTATATGTTACAAGATGGTGCAAGCAAGCTGGATATAACAAATATGACTTGGAACTTGATTCTATGTTAGTGGACAACATGATCAAAGATAAGGATACCAAAAATTTGAAGCTGAAAGGAATCATTCGAGACATTAGCCATGCCATGAAAGGGGTAGAAGTAAATGTTTCCCACTGTTATAGAGAAGCCAACAAAATAGCTGACTTATTTGCTAAACAAGCCTCCTTAAGTGAAAGTGGTACCTTCTATTGTTCTTTTCATAAATTTCCTAAAGAGGTGAATGGACTATTTATACTAGATAAGTGGCAACTTCCTAGCATAAGGAAAAGATACGACAAATGTAATTACTTTGTTAGTTGAACCAGTGTATTTTGCTTATAGTATGAAAGTCTATGTCATCTTAGTCTTTCTGTAGATTGTTTAGTTTATCCTCGTTGTTATCTATCAGAGGTTAGGTCCATGTCCCCCTCTACTTTTGTAACTCTTTGGATGTTATAGACATAGTAGAGGTCAAACCTAACACCCCACACTGTTAAGGTGATGGCTTGATTTTATTTTATTTTTAAAAAAAAAGCAATCATGAACTAAATACTACAGGCAACAAAATGTACAAACAGTCAATTAAAGGGGCCACCATTTGGCTCACTTAGTTCGAAGCAACATTCGTAAACTTTGCAAAGAACTATACTATATTGTCAATAGGTCGCAAATTAGGTAACAGAGAAAATATAATCTACTTTTTTCGCTAATCTTGAAGTTTCAACTACAGCTCAATTCCTTCAGCAGATCAGAAACTGGTCACTCCTTACTCTTCTCTACAGGAGACTCGACGTCACTATCTACAGCAGCCACTGCACACTCATGAGAAGTGCTTCCACTTGATACATCTCCCTGCATATAATTGTTGCCCATTGGTGGTGGATACACAAAATAACCATGGTGATGAGCCATTGGAAAATTAGGAGGCAGGTGATTGGGCATGAGGCTGCATTAACCATATGGCGCTTCAATGGCAAAGGATCTCCTCTGAGGGATCCACACCCACCACCATCAAGCTCACGATAACGCTGAAAGTACAAAGTCAAGTGTTCAACTTAGTCATCAAAACCAAGCGTGTTCATGGCCCAAAGCAAGTCTTCAGCAGTGATTGTCTTGCGCTGCTTAAGCTTGCAACAATCGTTAGCTTCGCCTGTTACAAAGCTTATGAACTCAGAGACACATTCTTGGATGACCCGTTTGGATTTGTCGGCTATCTTAGCATTGGGAGGAAGGATCTTGTGCATGTTTCTGACCACGTTGGCTATTGGCATGAATCGGTCTTGCTCCCGAATGGGGCATTCTGAATCTTCTGCATTGGCAGCAATTTCCTGGTTGAGATGAGAAGGCAGTTCCATGCTTCTCTCTATATCTTAATTTCACACAACAACAAAGCATCAGAGTGAAATGAAAAAGAAGTGTAGTGTATATAATCAAAATATTCATCTAATTTCATCACAACTAGCTAGGCTTTTGTAGTCCAAATGTCCAATTAAACATTAATAAATCACATTTGCTATTAACTAACTTTTCAAGTATCGAAGCAATTACAAAACTAATGGCGCACGTATATATATGTTTCACTAATTATTAGCTGGATATGAGGGTAGTGCTACTGCAAGAAGGCACTATGAATTGTGGACAATGTTCATTTACACACCAATATCTCAACTCCAAAATCTAGAGCATTAATTGATTAAGTGTTTTTTTCAATCCTACAGTACATGCAAATGCAGAATCCTCCAACTAAAGACTAACATGATTGGGGAATTGAGTACCAACATGCAGCTTAATGATACACCTCGATAGCTTCAAATATGTCAATGTTTCTCAAGTAAATATGCTATCAGGCAACACATATTTTTCATCATTGACCATATCTAGATTAGCTTCTAAATACCATGATTGAGACAAAAATGTCTATCCCGGAGAGAAGATGAAATCCCAGAATATTTCCAGTATTTTAAGCATGATAATTTTATGAATTATGCTAGCAGCAGAATCCTCAATATAAGATATGTACTTAAAAAAATAGGGGATCAAACACAAGACTAGGTTGTGTAGACCATAACAGCCTCTAATGTTTTGATAAGATTCCAGCTCTTACAGCGTATTTGATGGGCATTAGCTCTAGTACTCTATGTAGTATGTCAGTTGGTAACTCAGAAATAATAGATAAGGGTCAACTATATGATTCGTCACTACAATTTTTTTCTTTGATTTTCGAAATTCGAGGATCGTCAGTACATTTCACTAGCTATGAAAAGTTCATGGAAACATATAATTACATCCATAAGATTGTATTTTATTTGCTTCAGTCATATCCTACATTGTTACAGTGATGTGCTTTACATACGTTAGTGAGTTTGAATAAAGGGTATATTGGTACTGGACTAATGTAGCAGTTGGTAACAGACCCTCTGATATAGATATTAACAGTAAGCATGTTTGCACACTAATTGGGATGAAGAATCAGTCGTATATGCTCTCCACTAGTGGAAGATCGAGAAATAACATCAATCTCGATGATATATTCTGCCCTTTTAGAATTCATATTCATAAGTTGACAACTGATAGGAGCAGTACTAACTCAAGTATGCACGTCAAAGCAATATCATATATCTTGGTGCTATACCGACCTTTCAGAATTCATATTCTCAAGTTGACAGCACATATGAGCAGCAACAACTCAAGTCTACAGGTCAAAGCAATAACATCCATCTCGGTGATATACTGACTTTTTAGAATTCATATTCTCATGTTATAGCGACTCTTGAGAAAGTCGTTCCATCAGGGCCGGTAACATCAACAACCTTAGTACGACCATCACTGCTAGACTCAACATCGAACTCAACTGTGTCGCCATCAAATAGGCTATGGAAACACTTAGATAGGATACCAGAGTAGTGAATGAAGAGATCATCACTAAGCCACTTGACGGTTCCCTTAGCCCTCTGTCCACTCTTACCCGCCATTCTCACTAACAAATAGAAACACTAAAAACCCATTGTGTGTTTCCTTTTGAATTGTCACCATTATAAGAAAGCAATCTAATATAAGTAAAATGACCAACGACTATATTAGATTATTTTCTTGTCACGGTGATAATTCCAAAGGAAACACACAATGGGTTTTTAGGGTTTCTCTTTGTTAGTGAGAATGTCGGGTGAGAGTTGACAGAGGGCTAAGGTAACCGTGAAGTGGTTTAGTGAAGATCTCTTCATTCACTAGTCTGGTATCAAATATGAGTGTTTCCGTAGCCTATTTGATGGCGACACAGTTGAGTTCGGGATTAAATTCGGCAGTGAAGGTTGTACTAAGGCTATTGTGTGACCGGCCCTGATGGAGCGAGTTTCTTAGAAGTTTCTAGAACATGAGAATATAAATTCTGGAAGGTCTGTATATCACCGAGATGGATGTTATTGCCTTACCTGCAGACTTGAGTTGTTGTTGCTCATATCTGCTGTCAACTTGAGAATATGAATTCTGAAAGTTCTCTATATCATCAAGATGGATGATATTGCTTTGGCCTACAGACTTTAGTTAGTGCTTCTCGATATGTTTCCAACTTAAGAATATAAATTAGAAAGGTCGGTACCTAGATGGATGATTTTCTTGATCTTACACTGGTGGAGAGCATATATGACCGTTTCTTCATCCCAATCAATTCTTCTAAGGAATTAACTCTGGTGCAAACATGCTTACTATTAATAGCTATGTTAGAGCATATTTTACAAACTGCTACATTAGTTAGTGACCAATATACTCTTTATTCAAACTCACTTATGTGACGAGATTCTTAATTGCTCCAGTATCACTAGCTGGGAAGTAATCTTCATTCTCCAGCTTGGTGTAGTTCTTGAAGGAGTGCACTTCCCTTCAATTGTGTCTGCACTCTGTAACAACACATACTAGTAGGCATCATCATCCTCAGATATCAAAGATCATTATCGTCCTCAACCATGAAACATCACCGAATTCCTTTAACCAGACTATGCCAAGTGGCATAGCAAGAGTAGTATCAGTACAAATAACGCATACTAGTAGGCATCATCATCCTCAGATATCAAAGATCATTATCGTCCTCAACCATGAAACATCACCGAATTCCTTTAACCAGACTATGCCAAGTGGCATAGCAAGAGTAGTATCAGTACAAATAACGCATACTAGTAGGCATCATCGGTTAACTTGAACCTACCACATAATATAAATTAGACATTCAAAAGGGAACATGAAATATAAAAGTTACACCACCCCAAGTATCTACCCACATGTTGTCACCATCCCAAGTATAATACCCATAAACTAGTACGCTTTGAACTCAGCCTCGTACCTCATTCACTATCAACTCTAATATTTAAACATTCGACCCTCTTGCCATTCTATGGCTTCCCAAGTCTACATATTAATTCACCATAATTTCAAATCATAGACTAACGCTTCTATCACATTAATATCCACAAATATAAGACCACCATAATGCAAAATAATATCCTAACCCTTCTACCATATTAATATTTACGAATATCAAGTCATCACTAGCCCTATCAACCAACTTACTGGACCTTCTCAATTCTGAAGCCAACTCCCTAACCCTTTTGGAATAGTACATGAAACTAGCACCTTAGACAAACTCATCCATCTTGACTCACATCGACCATTATCGTATAAGTTCTAAACACAGTGGACAACCATAACCAGTCCCAAAAGATGTTTCAGAAACAAAAGATGTTGGTTACAGCATCTACGAAAATAAAACGAGGCTGCATAATTTTCTTACCTTTAGGGATGTTCCATTCAAGCTAACATGCTTAATGATTCTAAATATTGGGTTCACATTAAAACATTCAAATCTAATTTTATAGCTGCTAAGGATAGACAAGTTCTCAAGTATTAGAGAAACCAAATAAATAGAATATTTATCAACACAAAAGCTCAACTCCAGAGTCATGAGCATTAACTGATTCTGTGCTTTTTTCAATCTTGGTGATATACCGCCCTTTCAGAATTCATATTCATAAGTTGACAACAGATAGGAGCAGTACTAACTCAAGTCTACAGGTCAAAGCAATATCATTCATCTTGGTGCTATAGCGACCTTTCAGAATTCATATTTTCAGGTTGACATCACATATGAGCAGCAACAACTCAAGTCTACAGGTCAAAGCAATAACATCCATCTCGGTGATATACCGACTTCTCAGAATTCATATTCTCATGTTGTAGCAACTCTTGAGAAACTCGCTCCATCAGGGTCGGTCACATCAACAACCTTAGTATGACCATCATTGCCAGACTCAACCTCGAACTGAACTGTGTTGCCATCAAATAGGCTATGGAAACACTTAGATCTGATACCAAACTAGTGAATGAAGAGATCGTCACTAAGACACTTGACGGTCCCGTTAGCCCTATATCAACTCTCACCCGACATTCTCACTTACAAATAGAAACCCTAAAAACCCATTGTGTGTTTCCTTTGGAAATGTCACTGTTCCAAGAAAACAATCTAATATAAGTAAAATTACCAACAACTACATTAGATTATTTTCTTGTAACGGTGATAATTCCAAGGGAAACACACAATGGGTTTTTAGGGGTTTTCTTTGTTAGTGAGAATGGCGGGTGAGAGTGGACAGAGGGCTAAGGGAACAATGAAGTGGTTTATTGAGGATCTCTTCATTCACTTGTCCGGTATCAAAACTGGGGTTTTCGTAGCCTATTTGATGGCTACACAGTTGAGTTAGAGATTGAGTGCGGCAGTGATGGTCGTACTAAGGTTGTTAATGTGATCGACCTTGATGAAGGGAGTTTCTTAGGAGTTGCTACAACATGAGAATATGAATTATGGATGGTCGGTATATCACTGAGATTGATTATATTGCCTTACCTGCAGACTTGAGCTGCTGCTGCTCGTATATTCTGTCAACTTGAGAATATGAATTCTGAAAGCTCGCTATATAACCAAGATAGATGATATTGCTTTGACTTGCAGACTTGAGTTAGTGATGCTCCCATTTGTTGTCAACTTAAAAATATGAATTATGAAAGGTTTGTACGAAGATAGATGTTTTTTTTATCTTACACTAGTGGAGAGCATATACGACTCATTCTTCACCATAATTAATTTTTCTAACGAATTAACTCTGGTGCAAGCATGCTTACTGTTACTATCTATATTAGAGAATTTGTTACAAACTTCTACATTAGTCCAGTGACCAATATACTCTTTATTCAAACTCACTTACGTGAAGGGATTCTTAACTGCTCCAGTAGCACTATGTAACACCCCAGAAGATAGTAGACTAAACTGGAGCTGAACGTGAGGGTTGATGTCAACGAAGTAGAGTTAGGG